CATTACCTCTACCCTCTACCTGCTTGCCACCCGCCTCCCTGACCGTCTTGCTGTCGCCCGCGACCGCTTCCTTAGTGTTCACCCCGTAGACCTCACCCTCACTGACTTTGTCGACACCCTGACTGTGATAGAGACCCGTCACCGCTCCATCGCCCAGGCGAGCGGTGTCGTGCCGGTCCCTATCTTTCAGGGTTGTGCCCCTCCTCAGTGCACCTTCTCCGACGGCTCTGCCGCAGTGGCTGAGACTGCTGCTGCAGCGCAGGCCCGTTCTGGGAAGGGCCGCCGCCCCAAGGCTGGGCGCGGCGGAGGGGGCGGCGGGGGTGCGGGCGGGGGTAGTGGTGGGGTCGGGTCGCCTGGTGCTGGAGCGGACGAGGGGACCCTGCCCAGTCCAGCTGAGTCGCCGCCCCTGCAGTTGCAGCAGCCGCAGCAGCCGCCGCAGTCGCAGCTTTCGCAGCAGCCGCAGCAGCCGTTGCAGACGCGGCAAACGAGTGTTCTCCCGCCAGGGTGGCCCGGCGCTGGCGGTGGACGGGCGCGTGGTGGTGTGCCGCGTGGTGGCCCTGCCGGCGGGCATTGTCAGTACCAGATCCAGACCGGTCCTCGCCGCGGCTTCGTTTGCGGTAAGATCGGTCACTCCACTCCCCGCTGTATTCGTCGCCTGGACGACCTCTTTCGTCAGCGCTTCGGCCCGTTGCCAGACCTCCCGGACTGGCACAGTTTGCTTAGTCGTAAGATTCAGATTTTTGATATGGACATGGATGCCATTGCTTAGTCGCCCGCAGTTCCACCACCCTCCCCTGTCCGGCGGTTGCTTCGGGCTCTCTTACAGGTCTGCATATCCCCTCGTTCTCCAGGAACCTAGTTGGTGTCGGCTGCCTCCAAGACCTTGGCGTCACCACTACGTTCCCTGGTCATGAGCGGTATGCTGTCTGTACCGAGGCCGCCACTGGTGCCCCCCTGTCCACGTTCCCCCGGGACCCGGTGTCCGGCCTGTTCACTCTGGACACCGTGCCCCCCCCGGCTGGAGCGCCCCCTCAGGTGGCTGTGTCTACCCAGGTTGCTGCTGCCTGCTCCTGTCGCTCCCTCACTCACCCGACCCTCCTGTGGCACCACCGCCTAGGTCACCCTGCGCTCCCGCGTCTGCGTCACATGTCCCAGCACGGTCTTGTCCTTGGTCTCTCAGGTTCACTCCCCGCGTTTCCCTCCTCCCCAGCTCCACCTTGCACGCCTTGTGTCGAGGGTCGGCTTCGCCGTGCCCCTCACTCCTCCTCGTTCCCCCCTACCGCCGCGCCGCTGCAGACCCTGCACCTGGACGTCTGGGGCCCTGCCCCCGTCCCTGGGCCGCGTCGCGAGCGCTACTTCCTTGTGCTTGTCGACGACTTCACTCGTTACACCACAGTCTTTCCCCTGGAGCGCAAGGCCGACGTGCCTGGCGCCCTCATCCCCTGGCTTGTCTCTGCGCGGGTCCACCGCGGTCTACCTGTCTTGCGTCTTCACTCAGACCGTGGTGGCGAGTTTGCCTCAGGTGTCCTTGGTCGCTTTTGTCGTGCGGAGGGCATCACCCAGACGTTCACCCTACCGGACTCCCCACAGCAGAATGGGGTCGCTGAGCGACGCATCGGTTTGGTCATGGAGGTCGCTCGCACCTCCATGGTCCATGCCGGTGCACCCCATTTTCTGTGGCCGTTCGCTGTGCGCTACGCTTCTCACCAGCTTAACCTGTGGCCGCACCCTCAGCAGCTGCAGGTTTCGCCGACCCGTCTGTGGACTGGGTCTCCTGGTGACACGTCTGCGTTCCACGTCTGGGGCTGCCTTGCTCACGTCCGTGCCTCCGGCACGGACAAGGTCACTGCCCGCACCCTTCCCTGCGTCTTCCTCGGCTTTCCCCTTGACGCGTCCGACTGGCACTTTTACCACCCGCCGTCTCACCGGTTCTTTCACTCTCGTAACGTCACCTTTGACGAGTCCGTCTCCTACTACCGCCGCTTCCCCCACCGTGGTCCCCCGGTTACCCCCCCCCTGTTCCTGGTCACCCCTTCCCCGGTAGTCCCTGCCCCTCCTCCTCCTCCTCCCCGTCCCGCCCCCTCTGGTGTCTCCCACGTCACCCCCCTTCCGTCCGTAGACCCGGTTGAGGAGTCTTCTGACTCTGGTGGCCCTCCGGTGCAGTCCTCGCCGGCCGCCCCTCCCCAGGTGTCCCCTCCCCAGTCCCCTCCTCCGCCGCCCCTGCCGCCGCTGCAGCCGTCGCCGTCGCCGCCGCCGCCGCCGTCGCAGCCCCCGTTCGCTGACTCTGGGGGTGCTCGTCCCGGTCGCCCTGAGGGTGGTCCCTCTGGGGGTGCGGGTGTGGAGAGTGCCGGTGGTAGCCGAGGAGCAGCTTGCGGTCCAGGTGTCGCCGTTGTTCCGCCACAGCAGCAGTCCCCACCGGTGTCAGCCCTTCGCCTGCTCGGCCTTCCGTCCCCCGACCCTGCGTCGGTTCCTCCCCGACCGTCTCCTCCTCTTCCTGTCTACGGCCCTGTTTTCCCTCCGCCGGACTCGTCCCCGGCCTGTCTCCCCCCTCGTTCCCCTCCTGTGTCCCCTCCCCTGTCTCCTGACCCGACTCCTCCGTCCCACGTCTGGTCTCACCGTCCCTCCCGTGCTCGTCCTGCCTCGCCTGTCTTGCGCTCCCACCCTATGTTGCTTTGTTCCCACGCGTCTCGTCCTCCCCTTCTACCGTCGCCTCCTCCGTCCTCCCTTGTTGTTGCGCCCCCCCCGCTGTCTGACTACCTTCGTGCCGCTCGTCCTCTCGTTCCTCGGGTCCTTGCCTCTCTCGTTACCGACCCGTCTGTTCCGGTCTCGTGCCTTGACGCTCTTGTCGCTGCTGTCGCTGACTTCGCCTCTACCCGCCGCCTTGACTACGCCACCGCTCTGGTCTCTGACCCTGCCTGTCCTCCGTCTGTCGGGGGTGCTCCTGTCCTTGGCAGTGACGTCCTGGAGGACCGCCAGTTCGAGCTTGCTTTCCTCTCCGAGGCTGCTCCCCATCTCTGTTCCATGCTGCTAGTCCCTGAGGGTGACCCAGACGCTTTCGACATCCCGACCCCTCGCACTTACGCTGAGGCAACTTCGGGACTCTGGGCCTCGCAGTGGATAGCTGCCATGGAGCAGGAGATGGCATCTTGGAGATCCACCGGCACCTTCGTCGACGCAGTTCCCCCGCCTGGGGTGAACGTAGTCGATGGCCGCTGGCTCTTCAAGGTGAAGCGCCCTCCTGGAGAGCCGCCTGTCTTCAAGGCGCGCTATGTGGCTAGAGGCTTCAGTCAGCGCGAGGGGGTGGACTTCTTCCAGACTTTCGCTCCGACCCCGAAGATGACTACTCTTCGGGTTCTGTTATACCTAGCTGCTCAGCGTGACTACGAGCTTCTCTCCCTCGACTTCTCCACTGCCTTCCTTCAGGGCAGCCTACACGAGCAGGTCTACCTGCGCCGCCCTCCGGGCTTTACTGGCACCTTCCCTCCTGGGACCCAGTGGCTCCTGCGGCGCCCCGTCTACGGCCTGCGCCAGGCTCCCCGTGAGTGGCACGACACTCTCCGTGCTACGCTTGCTGACCTGCAGTTCTTTCCGTCTTCTGCAGACCCTTCACTCTTCGTTCGTGCTGGCCAGACTCCGTTCTACATCCTCGTTTACGTCAACGACCTGGTCTTTGCCACAGCAGACAGGGACGCGCTGGCCTCCGTGAAGGCAGAGCTGCTGAAGAGACACACCTGCACTGACCTTGGAGAAATGCGCCGTTACCTTGGCTTGCAGATCTCCAGGGACAGAGCTGCGCGCACCATCACCCTGACTCAGTCACACTTGGTGCGCCAGGTCCTTCAGAGGTTCAGCCTTCAGTTCTCCTCTGCACAGCCCACCCCTCTGCCTGTAGACCACAGGCTCTCCGCTCCAGTGCCTGAGGAGCTGGTAGAGCCCAGCGGCCCCTACGCAGAGCTGGTGGGTTGCCTCATGTACCTGATGACTTGCACTCGCCCAGATCTCGCATACCCTCTCAGCATCCTGGCTGCTTTGTGGCCACAGGCAGACACCGACCGCAGCACTGGTCTGCCGCTAAGAGGGTTCTCCGTTATCTTGCTAGTACATCGGGCATGGGGTTAGTGCTAGGAGGACGCAGGCCAGTGGTCCTTACTGGGCACACAGACGCTTCGTGGGCAGACGACGCTAAGACACTCCGGTCTACCCAGGGCTACTGCTTCAGCCTTGGCTCAGGTGCCGTTTCGTGGAGAGCTACTCGCTCCTCGTCTGTTGCACAGTCCAGCTGTGAGGCTGAGATCTACGCCGGTGCCATGGCGGCACAGGAGCTCCGCTGGCTGACCTTCTTGCTCTCTGACTTAGGTGAGCGGCCTAGCTCTGCCCCGGTCCTGTTCGCTGACAACAGGGCCATGATCCTCCTGTGTCAGGAGCCTCGACTCGAGGGCAGAGCGAAGCACATTCAGCTGCGGTACTTCCTCCTGCGTGAGCTATAGCAGCGACGTCAGGCTCGCGTAGTACACTTGGCCTCAGGTGCCAACACGGCTGATATCTTTACGAAGGCGCTTGCGCCTAAAGATCATCAGCGGCACTGTGTACAGCTTGGTCTAGTTCCTGTAGCCGCTCACTTGCTAGGACCTTGACTTTGTACTGTCCTTTATATGTATACTCAGACTGGACTTGTGTCCTCTCCCAGTGGCTGGACTAGTAGTGCCGCCCTGCTCTTGTGCTTGCCTTGTCTGTACTCCTTCCGACTGGTCGCTCAGACCCTTGTCTCAGAGGTTGGACTAGTAGTGCCGCCCTGAGCTGCTTGTTTAGGATATTCCCCTATGCAGTCTAGGGGGTGTGTCAAACATGTGTATTTGTCATGTTTGTATAGACTGTATAGGGTCACCTCTTAGAGGATACAAAACTTAGATATTTTTGTGTGTACTCTCACTTTACTATTTTCAATTCTAGTTTCTGATACGGACGTGTACCTGCACCTCAACCGCCTTGCCAATGTGCAGGAGTCCCTGCCATAGGGGTGTGCTGCCTGGAGGATTGCAAGGGGTCAGCACATCTACACCACCTGCCACACATTCGTTTGTTCGAGCCTCGAGTTTGAAACGCCCCTTCCCTCCCATAAGGTGTGGGACCTTTTGCCCTAGGTGTAGGTGTAGGTGTCGTACTAGTTGGTGCACGAGCATGTTATGTCACGTGCTTAGGGGCAAAACACAGTTCCTTCATGTATGCACCAAAGAGCCCCACAAAGAAGAATGTGGTGTGAGCACCATGGAGGCATGGTTCTAAGGTTTGCTGTTTTGTTTCTAACTTATTACAAGAGAGTGTTCTCTACTCCAAAATGATTTCTGTCAAACGCGGCAAGCCAATAAGCTTTCAGTGATTCATGCCTCGATTATTGTCGGCGGACCCTGGTCATGCTTTCGTTTGGGTTGGGCTCTCCTTTGCGAGCCTCGTCAGCCAATAAGCAATTTTGATTTCTACCGCGCTTGGCCCCACCGAGGTCCACCGCTGGTCGCGGTCTGCCTGTCGCGAGGAAAGGCAGCTCCAGCGATGCTTCCTTGAATCCGTTCGTAGGGCGACGAGTTGTCAGATGCGAATCGCATGGCGCTAGAGATGTCAGTCGCAGAGCACACGCCGTCGCAGAGCAGCAGTCAAAGGACGCCGAATGAAGTGTATAATGCTTGAAATCTATGAAACCCCGCTCACACCTCGGTTGTTCCGTTCCTGCTCCCTCTTTTTCGCTCCGCCTCCTCATTTCTCAGCCAGACGCGTTCATCCGAATCCAGAACTTGTACCGCAATCCTTCGCCCCATCAAGCCTAGACTTTATCCCAGGCTGAGAATTCCCAGTTGGAAGCACGATGGAGTCGGGCGATGGCCTCGCGCTCGTAACACCTTATTATCCCGGGCGAAGTGATACGCGAGTAACCGCTGAACCGCGAGTAGCAGGTCACAAGAGCAAAGCGGCCCGCTCGTCAATTCCTCGCCGCAAACGACGCTGCCTGCAGTCCCCCTCTGGCGCGCACTCAATCGCCGCCTCCCCCGCTTCGCCCTCGAACGGCGAGCCCTTTCACGCGGAGCGGCAGTGTCGCGTACAAACGGCAACCGGCGAATCCTCCCCCGACGATCTGCATCAAGTTGACGGCGAGCGGCAGTACCGCGGGGTGCGGCAGCGGCGGTGGGGGCGGTGGGTGTCGGAGATCCGCGAGCCGCGGCGGGGGTTGCGCATCTGGCTGGGGTCGCACGGCAGCGCGGAGCAGGCGGCGCGCGTGTACGACGTCGCCGTGCGACTGCTGCGAGGCGACGGCGCGATGCTGAACTTCCCAGATGACCAGCGCGAGGTGAGCGAATGGCCCGGCTAGCCGGCATGACGATTCCGCAGCACGTGGTGCAGTTGGCAACCACAGACGCTAGTACCTCCCGTTCTCGCTCCCCGTGCGCGCTTGCGCTACTCGCGCTGCTTCTCAAACCCTCGCGCTCATCACCTTCCTCTTTGCCTGCCCTACTATCTGCCCTATCATCCGCATTGCAGGTGCCGCTGCCGCCCGCCATCGCGGAGTCGCTCATCAACGCCTGTGCCGCGCTCAACGCGCACACCCACCACCCCCCTCCACCGCCTCTCACGCCCACTCACTCCCCTCCCCCTCCTCTATCCCCCAAGCACTCCCCTCCGCCTCCTCTCTCCCCCATTAGTCCTGCGCCAGCTGCACCGGAGCCCACAGAGCCGCGCCAGGGCGCGCCCCTTGCCAGTGACCGCTCCGCATTGGGCGCACTGCTGCCGACGGAGCCTGCAGAGTCGGGGCGGCTGGATGCTGCTGATGCTGGAGAGAGGGGCGAGGAGCATGGGGGGCAGAGGAGTCTGTCTGACAGGCGGGCTGCAGCACCGGACGACGCAAGGCAGGAAGAGAAAAGTCCTGTGGCTGCTGCTGCTGCTGTGACCAGCTGTGGCAGCGGTGGCAGTGGTGGCGTGTGCGTAGACACAGCTTTGGAAGAACGGCGCATGCAGCAGCAGGTGGAGCAGGCAGAGGCGGGGGAGGAGACGTGGGTAAAGAAGCAGGTGGAGCAGGCGCGCGTGGGGGAGGAGGAGAGTTGGGCGGACGAGCTTGAGTGGCTGCTGGCGTGCGAGCAGCTGTCGTGGGACGACTGCACCTTGGAGCCACCTCAACTGCCATGGGAAGATCCCTCTTCGTGCCACGCGTGCCATGGGGCTGCCATGAATGGTGATGACGTCATGGGTGATGATGCGGGTGCAGTAGCACGCAGAGGGGAGAGAGGTAGGAGAGCAGTTTTCAGTGGAGGGGTGGAGCACGTTGACCCTCCTCCCATGCACCACATGGACGACAGCGTGTGTGAGATGCCAACTACCCAACTACTTACCTCCGACTCTGTGACCACCACCAGCACCAGTGGGCATAGCAACATTGGCGGTCTCTCCTTCCTACACCCGCTCTCTCCTCCCTCGTGCCTCCTCTTGCCTGCCGTCACCATCCCCTCCCCTCCCCCCCTCTCTCTCACTGCCCCTGACACGCTCTCTCCCACCCTCACCCCTCACTCTCTCACTCCTCCTGCCAGTGCAGCTGTGGCATCCGCCCCCTCCGCCTCCTCATGCCCCTCCCCCACATCCCCCTCACCCCCCGCATTCCCACCCCCTCCACCACGCCCCCCACTACCCCCACCCCAACTGCACCCTCTGCTGTGTGAGCCGACGTCAGCAAGCGGGCCCCTGGCGCCTGCCTCTGCTGCTCCATCTGATGCCCTCAACAGCCCCCCTGCTCTGCCCTGCACCAACCCTGCCACTGCTCCCTGCACCACTCCTGCTGCTGCTGCTTGCACCGCTCCTGCTGCTGCTGTGGCACCACCCACGGCGCCCCAACCTCCACAGCACAGGCCACCTCTCTCCCCGCCCTCCGATTGCATTCGCCCTCCCCTCTCCCCCATCCTCCCACCGAACCGTAGCAATAAGAATAATAGCAGCTACAGTGGCGAGATGACCCCCACCCTAACAGTGCAGGCCATGGCGCATTTGCTGTCCCCGCTTCCTCCTCTCCACCTCCCCCTCCCCCCCTTGCACGCTCCCTCCCCCCTCCCCTCCCCAGCCCTCGCCCGCTCTCTCCTGCTGCATCTCACCACTGCCATCGCCTGCCGCCGTGCTCCCGCCCCTCCCCCTCCGCTCCCCCTCCCCCTCCACTCCCTCCTCTCCCCTTCATGAGTCAAGACACCTTGAGATCTCCTCCGCCCCTCCCTCTTCCCTCTTCCCCCCCCCACTGCCTCCTGTCACCTTCACCCAGCCTGTAATGCTGCTAAGAGTAAGAGCTGCAGCTTCCCATGATTTCAATTCTTACTGCGCCTCTGCAGTCGGCACAAGTTGATGTCGATGCAAGGTGTATCTGGGGGCTGCCTCGCTGGTTGGTCAGAAGCACAACTTGCTGCTGTTCAGGGACTGCTTGATGCTATAGTGCTAGTTGTGTTTCTGACCACAAAGAAGTTGTGTAGCTTAGGGGGTGTATCAGGTTGATGTTGGCCTGGAAATTTGCTTAGATGGCGTTCTAAAGCTTGGCTGAGTTGAAGCTTTGGCCATCCAACTCGCCACGTAAGCGAAAGTTTGGCCAAACTTTGAGGTTTTGGTTGACAAAAGTTGAGGTAGGTGAACTTTGGCCTGAAGTAAATCGTCTGGTGTTGCAGTAGACTACAGCTTGAGCCCGAGAGAGGAACGCCACCTTTTCGAGCCGCGGGGGCTTCTGTCGATTTGGTATTTCGCCGGCTTTCGCTGCTAGAAGCGAGGGATTCAGGGTGAGCTCGTTGGTAACTTATTTTGTCGCAATAGGGGAAGGTTGGGTGGCAGCGTTCAGATTGCGTATGTAACCACGGTTACGCTGTTTTGCACTGCGACGATCAGAAACAACCCCAAGTGTTGTTTAATTAGCTCAACCAATAGGTCACGAACATGACATTTGCTCACAATTTGTGCGGCTTCGATAAGTGTGGAGTTCAGGGCCTCAGCTAGGATTTTGGGCATCCTGTCTAGTCAGGGCTAGGCCTTAAAAACACGTGTACTGGTCAGGGTTGGACGTCAATGTTCATGCTGTTTTGTCAGGGTTGGCATCCAGCACTTAACTGCAGCCTCAGGGTAATCTTCAAAACAGCCCAAAATGTTGCTTTAAGTATAATAATAGCAGCAGCATAACACCAGAGATAATCAATATTCACAGTACTGCAGCATACATGTGGCTCGACTCAGAAGTTTCCACCATCCTCCTCATCATCACTAGAACTAAACCCGCTGCTGGAGCAGCTGTTCTCATCGTCCGCTCGTGCCTCATCATCATGCTCCTCTTCGGACAACACCACCACTTTCTCTTTGCCCTTGGCAGACTTCCTCGCACGCACTTCGCTCTGGTGGGCCCTCCTTGGCCGTCTCTTCTTCATGCCGCGCCACACCTCAATGACCCTATCCCAGTTCATGTCATACTCTAGCAAACTCATGCACATCAGATCCTCCAGCTTCCCGTTGCACAGACTCGTCCGGTTCCAGCTCTTAATCACATTTTGTCGCGAGAATCCCCTCTCGCACTCAACAGTGCTGAGAGGAAGCACTGCCACAGCCACCCACAGGCGCACGAGATTCGGGTAGCTGCGCGGCCAGTCGCTGGTCCCCAGGATGGCTGCAAGTCCGGCATGGAATGGCTGCTCCTCTTTTGGCACACCAGCAAGCACTGGCACGAGGGTGCTGAGTTCCTTGCGTGCCAGCCGTGTTGGAAATATCTCAAGGACTTAAGCGTTTCTGAAGTGTAACACTGTACTCGAGGAAGATTACAGGGGAGCACGCGAGTCAACGGAGGTTACACGAGGGGGCAGACAAAGAAAGCGAAAGGACTCGAAAGGTCGCAACTGGAGGTTGCGACTGACCGTTACAACATCACGGATGGTAACCGAAGCGGCAATCGAGTCGCTGTGCGACTCGATAAACCGCTCCTGTAACTGTATTCTACAACTGCTTTCTTATCTTCTATATATTGCTGTATGCTTGTTTCTTTAATCAATCACTTGTTCTCACATACTAGTACAAGGGTTCAACTGCCTCAACTTCCGCTGCACTACTCCAAGTCTCAAGTCTTTACAGCTGGGACTTAGTCTCTGCAAAAGATCCTAAGGGCTTTTTCTCAGCCCAACATGGTATGAGAGCTGGTCAGAGACCAAAACTCCCAGCAACTACACTCCATCAACAACCAGCAACTCAACTTGATTCAACAACTCCATTGATTACAAGACATGGACAACAAGGGCAAGAAAGTCTCTACGGGCTCACCCAGCGCCCAAGAAACTCAACACGGCAACTCTGGTCTGCACACCTCAGGACTGCAGACAGAGACCGGGACTACTCAAGAAACAACGGGAAGAGTACCAGAGATGGTGACCCCGTCTCCATCTTCAAGTGTGGACCCGAATCTCATGGAGAGATTCTTCAGCTTCATGTCACACTTCGATCAGCAGCAGCAGACAAGGACACCTGCGCACTCAACACAGAGCAATGGAGGGAATATGGGATTAGCGCCGATGAGCCTCGACAACTCATCCTTCGGGCGACACAATCAAGCGCCTACCTTTGCGCCTTATCACTCTTCACCGGGGACGTTCGAGTTCATGCCGCCCCGTGCCCAACCAACAGCAGCTGCATCACAACAAACACCAAACGAAATTTTAAGTCTCCAGGCACAGTTTTCACACGTGATTAAACTGCAGACATCATCACCGTTCAACGGACACGACTTCTTTACCTGGAGCTTCGAGTTCGAGCTGCTGATGGAGGCCGCGCATCTTCTGGGATACTTCAACGGGTCCCTGCCATTCCCAAGCAACGGCACTGGGAAGGAACAAGAAATCTTCACGTATCAGTCGCTGCTGGCGTATACGGTACTCCTGAGAAACCTGTCACCACAAGAGCAGCAGAGCATCAGAACGTATCGGACTTATGGAAACTCCGCGGAACTTGCATGGCATCATCTCAAATGCCTCTATCAAGCAAACGACAGCGTGACACAAAGCAGACTCATGCAACAGCTGACAACAATACAGATGAAAACCGGAGAAAAGGCGATGCAGTATATGAGTCGCTGCCAGACCCTGCGCGACCGCCTGCTTCGGTGCGGAGGAACGATCACTGAAGAAAGCTTCGTCACACTTGTCCTCGCCGGGCTCGGACCAGAATGGAGAACCACACGATCGCTTCTTCGCGCCCACGGAAGGATCTCGGAGATGCACCTCTGCGCCGAGCTTCACGCTGAACAACAGGAGATGGATCTGTTCGAGGAAAGACAACCAAGGAAGCAACAGCAGTTAGTCTTCTACACTCAAAGAAGAAATGACATAAACTACAACCGACGCAGCAAGCAAGATCAACGCGACAACCGAGGACTCACCATCGTGCCGCCGTTCTGCCACAACTGCCAGACTTCCGGACACTCCAAAGTCAACTGCAACCGCCCTCGCGTTTACCGTGCAGCAGACCCACAAGTTGCTTCCACTCAAGCAAGTTCCCCAAGGCGCTCTTCAACATCTGCACAAGGGACACCAAATATCATCAACTGCATGGTACACATCGACAACTGCGCACCCGGATCACCACCCACTTACGCACCAGACGAAGAGGAATTCCCGCCGCCGCGCTCACAAGGACTTCAGGTCAACCCAACATACGCTGCGGTCGCCAACGCCGAACCCACCGGGCGAAACACCTGGTTCTTGGACAGCTGCTGCGGTCAACACATGTGCTCCTCGGGACGCTTCGTGCAACAGGAGAAACGCCTCAACCGCGACGTCGTCATCACCGTCGCCAACAACGAAAACCTGAAAACAAACAGACAGGGCGTGGTTCAGTTACAATCCATGGAGACGAATGTCATACTTCAACTCAACAAGGTGCTCATTGTCGACAATCTGGGATACAATCTACTAAGCGTAAGCCAACTAATGGCCAAGGGGATTCACCTGGAGTGCGACTCTTACTCCAACGAGTTCCGGCTTTACCACGGAAAGGGCGGCCTCTTCATCGGTCGTGCCCTCCTGAAGTCCGGCGTCTTCGTGTTGGACTTCGTCCCCGACCGCGGAACTGCCGACAGCGATGGCATCGTATCGTTCGCCGCCTGGACTCACCCGCCGGATCTTGACCCCGACTTCGACAGTGACGGCTTCTGGCACTCCAACACCATACCTGCAGCAGAGAGAACACGAGCATTAGCAGTTATCAGACAAGAAAGACAAGTACCCGCAAGTGTCCCAACAAAACCATCACCTGCAGTATCGGCAGCAGGACCCAGCCGAGTACCACCACCATCAACACGAGGACCGCCAACGGAAGCAGACCAACTTATACCCGCCACACGAGAAGCTTGTCGAAGTCCCGCCTCAGTCGTCGCGTTCTTCTCCAACGCCGACATCTACCACCGCTCGCCCGGCCACCGCGCTCCCGACGACATCTGGCACCAACGTCTCGGACATCCTGCAAACAGCACGATACTTCAAACAATCCAAGCAGAGGTGTTAGAACGCAACGCCCTTCTGACGACGAACGGCCAGGAACTCCAACGACCACGCGCACGGTGCTTCACATGCCCCGAAGCAGATCTTCCTCATCAACCTTTCCCAGCCCATCACAATCCAAGCGCACCCACTTACGCTCCGATGGAAAAGGTCTACAGCGATATTCTAAACATGCCTCGAGACGACACCGAAGCCGACTTCAACTACGTCATCACGTTCATCGACGCAGCAACCCGATACGTCTGGCACTTCAATCTCAAAACGCGCGATCAAGCCTTCGAGGCCTTCACCACATGGCTTCCAATCGCCGAACGAGAGTCAGGAACCAAACTCAAGAGTTTCCAGTCAGACGGTGCACTGGAATACCAGTCACAACGCTTCAGGACCTATCTCGCGGAAAGGGGAATCCGACGCCTGGTGTCTCTGCCCTATGCTCACCAGCAGCAGGGGGTAGCAGAACGCATGAACCGGACCTTGCAGACGACGATGCGAAAACTGCTTCTGGGGATGAGGCTGCCCAACGCACTGTGGCCAGACGCGATGACACATGCTGTTCACCTGCACAACCTGCTGTCCTCGTCATCACTTCCCAACAACGCATCGCCGCACCTGTTGTGGACAAGAAAAAGGGGCAGCACAAAATTACTCCGCGTTTTCGGCTGCATGGTACAGTACAGACCCCACACAGCCCGAGCAGGACGCTTCTCACAAAGAGCTCGATGGGGACTACACCTCGGCATCGCAAAACATTTTCACGCGTGGAAAATTCTCGACATACAAGACAAAAACACGGTGGCATCACGCGATGTTATCTTCTACGAACGACTGACGCTGCAGCATTACCTGGACAACCTTGCCAACACACAAGACCCCACCGACGGCTTCGCGGGCCTTCGCTCCTTCGCTGACCACACTGCCGAGGCTGACGCAGCAGAAGAAGACGTACCTGGAGCCTCGGAAGCTGCCGGACCACTCCCATTCTGTTCCGTACCTGTTCCACTCGATGAAGATAATCCCCTCGATAGCAACAACCTCGACACCTTTTACCACTTCGCCGACCAAGGTTACGCTACACCTCACCCCGTCGACACGAATATTTCGGAACGCATCGGCCCCAATTTCTTACCTGACCCCGAAGACGGTGACGAAGCAGCTTATTCCGGGAATGAAAATTCCCCTCGACACACGCCCACGGGACTCCAGATTCTAGGCCTCTGGGTCTCCGTCCAGAATCCGCCGCCGCCTTCTCCGCGAGAGCCTTCAACGTTGTCGCAGGCTCTGGGGGGGGAACATAAGGCAAGATGGAAGGAAGCAATGGAAAAGGAGTTAAAAGCTCTGCAAGACCGAGAAACGTGGAAACTGGTACCTGCAACGAGCATCAACGGAAAAAACGTTCTCTCGGGGAAATGGGTGTACCGCATCAAGACCAACTCAGACGGTTCCATCGAACGATTCAAAGCTCGATGGGTCGTACGAGGCTTCGACCAACGATACGGAGCCGACTACACAGAAACCTTCGCTCCAGTCTCCCGTCACACCTCATTACGCATCCTACTCGCCGTCGCGGCCACAAAAAAAACTGCCACTACGCCAAATCGATGTCGCGAATGCATTCCTATACGCACCTGTGGACGCTGAGATCTTCGTCGAACAACCCCACGGATTCATCAACGATCCCACGAAAATATGCCGACTGACAAAATCCCTATACGGGATCAAGCAAGCCCCGCGGCTCTGGCAGCAGCATCTCCACGGCCGTCTCGCAAAGATCGGCTTCCTACAATTACCGCATGACCAAGGGATGTACCGACTGCAGAAGGGAAGAGATTATGTTCTGCTCATCGTCTACGTCGACGACCTGCTCTACATCGGCTCCACTATCGACATCGCCACCTGGTTCGAAGGGGAGCTGAAAGAAGATTTAACTCTCACGGTGTCCGACGAAGTTACCCAGTACCTAGGACTGAACATCGTCGAAGACGACACGGCGTTCTACCTACACGCTGGAAAGTACTCAAGCACCGTCGCGAAGAAATTCGGTCTAGCACCGACTGCGGTCCCAACTCCCTACCGCTACGGGAACAACAGTAGCGCCTCCACAAAACTCCCCGCGAAACAAATCCAGGAGTATCAACAGAAGCTCGGCTGCCTACTATTCGCAGCAGTAACCTGCCGACCCGACCTATCCTATAGTGCGAGTCAGCTGGCGACACATCTGAAGCAGCCGCAACAGGAAGATCTCGAAGAACTCAATCGAGCGCTACTCTACTTCGTCTCCACGCCGACGATCGGGCTCACCTACAGCAAGGCAACAACACCGTCCGTACAACTACTCGGATACGTCGACGCCGACCACGCGGGAGACAGCGAAAATCGACGGTCTAGGACGGGCTACATCTACCGACTAGAACCTATCGGAACTATCTCCTGGCAGTCGAGCAAGCAGGAGTTAATCGCACTATCCTCGGCTGAAGCAGAGTATATCGCCCTTTGTACTGCGACCAAGGAAGGACTTTACCTACGAGAGTTACTCGAAGAAGCGAAAATCGCGACCCTGCCCGCCTTCTCACTCCTCTGCGACAACCAATCTGCAATCAAAATCGCGAACAAGGACGGCTTCGCCAACCGAACCAAGCACATCGCCCTGCGGTACTTCTTCGTCAAGGATGAAATCGCGAAGGGGAGACTTCAACTCAGTTACTGCCCGACGACAGAAATGGCCGCAGATTATCTGACGAAGAAATTGGCGAAAGCAAAATTCGACTACTGCATGCTCCTAACCGGGCAAACAAACGTCACCGGATCTGAACACTCCAGCACTCCAGAAACGAAGGGGAGTGTTGGAAATATCTCAAGGACTTAAGCGTTTCTGAAGTGTAACACTGTACTCGAGGAAGATTACAGGGGAGCACGCGAGTCAACGGAGGTTACACGAGGGGGCAGACAAAGAAAGCGAAAGGACTCGAAAGGTCGCAACTGGAGGTTGCGACTGACCGTTACAACATCACGGATGGTAACCGAAGCGGCAATCGAGTCGCTGTGCGACTCGATAAACCGCTCCTGTAACTGTATTCTACAACTGCTTTCTTATCTTCTATATATTGCTGTATGCTTGTTTCTTTAATCAATCACTTGTTCTCACATACTAGTACAAGGGTTCAACTGCCTCAACTTCCGCTGCACTACTCCAAGTCTCAAGTCTTTACAGCTGGGACTTAGTCTCTGCAAAAGATCCTAAGGGCTTTTTCTCAGCCCAACAAGCCGCTTGTCGACTCCTGCGAGACACATACAGGAACAGCAACACTCGTAAATCAGCAACACTCATACAGGAACTGCAATATTTTAGCAAGTTGGGCATATAATATACATTGGCATGGATAACCTTACCTGGCAGAATTTCAACGCGGTCGCTGGCGTGGAAGAGTTCGACCACGCTGTCAAAGTGCTCGGCGCACTCCTCGTCCCTCGCCTCCGTGTTCCGCGGCCATGTTCGGGGCATCCACAGCTTTGACCCGTTGAGCCGCTCAAGGTCGCCGAGCCGCAGCTGCACGTTGTAGATGAGCTCGGTCGCGTAGGAGCGACAGGTGAGCGTGCAGGAAGCTTTGTCGCCGCGGGCAGTGGTGTAGTTTGGCAGCGGCTCCTCGTGAAGCTCGAATTGATGCACTCGCTCCATTCCGTCTGCATCGACGCCCTGCACGATCACATCTCGGTTGCTGGCGTGGCGCTCCAGAAACTTGGACAGGCGATCGCTGTTCGTGCCGAAGTTAGGCCCGCAGTTGACGTAGCGCGAACGAATGAAGACGATCGTTCGCCGTACCTGCGACTGCACGCCCGTCAGGTCGATCTGTAGGAGGGTGTCATGGGATGAAATAAGAACACGAGGAAGTAAGTAATTTTTTTATTGACGGCAGTATGTTTTTTGTTTGAATTGGTTGGAAACCATTGCAACCGCAATGGCTCACCTCGCGCTTCTGGAACAGCAGATTGAGGCTGTTGAGCTCCTCGTGCACGTCGGCGAGGAAGTACAGGAAAAAGTGAAACTTGTACGATGTGACGATGTGGTACATGGGTTTGTCGTAGAGGTGCAGCAGAACGATGACGGCAGGAAGCACCGCCACCAGCCTCAGAATGGCGCCGCCACGACTGAGCCACCGAACAAGGTGAATCCCTTGCATCTCCAGATTTGTCGCCGTGAAGATCTTTTGGAGGTCCTTGAACATCTTGTGCCAGTTGTGTGAACGCCCCAGCAGCTCAGCAACCGCGCGGATGATGGCATCCACAATTCCCAGCTCAGGCAGCGCGTTGGCAGCATCTCTGGCCGCGAGGGCTTCCCTGGATGGACGGGAGTAGAAACACGACGAAACAGTGGTTAGTGCACGGTTTTCTCAACGGGATATGAAGTCTATGCATGAACGAACCGATGCGCTATGCAGTGGACAGAAACCACATGCGGGATCCGCTGTCGAAGGCGCCCAACGACCCCGTTCGTGGCTCCAACCATCACTGCGGCACCGTCGGTGCTGATGCCCGACACCTTTGAGAGACTGATGCCGATGCTATCGAGGTAAGCAACAAGAGAGCCTTCCAGAGAAGCTGCATCACATTTGTCGACAGGAAGAAGCGTTAGAAACTCTGTGACAACAATGCGCTCGCGAAGGAAAGTAGCAAACACAATCATGTGCTTGCCACGAACTCTGTCGGTACTCTCGTCACAGCTCAAGCCAATGAACGGGCTTGACTCCAAGTGCTCCCGTTGACGAGCTCGAAGGTACATGGCTGTCGACTTGGTTAACTCCTGAAAGCCATACCTGCGCAAACCATGTAGGGAGATTAGTACATGCGAGAGATCAACACATGTTAAATAGTAAACGAATAAAACACCCAAGGACTTACGTTGTGAAGTAAGACCCGTAGCCTCGTTTGGGAAAACCAGGAGTACGTCGCTTTGAGAGGTGCCGCACAAGTTGCACCCACATCTCGATGGGCGCGTCGGACTGACAGATGAAAAGCAGAGTCTCCAGCAGTGCAGTAACACGCTCGCTCTGGACGGTATGTGTTTTCGCCAAGTCCTCCATGCGCAGCTGCCCCTCAGCGATCGCAGTGGCGGTGGCTTGTCTCCGCATCGCTCTCTTGTGCTTCCGCGTGCGCTGGTGGTTTTGCATCGCCTGCGTCTGGACGTCGGTCGCACCTTCTCCGCCCTTGCCGTAGTTCGTTCCGTGCCCGCCATGTTCCATGCAAGTCTTACACTTCAAAGCCGGGAATCCTGCACGGGTCTGATTAAGCACAAGCCAAGGAAAGTCAGTACTCCACCGCTTTTTAAATTGCCAGAGAGCCTCCTGGTACTTTCGTTCGGCCACGTCTTCAAGTTCGGTGTCCGATGACGAAGTCGGAGCTGTAGATGGTCCTGAAACAACAGGAGGGACGACGTGCAGAGTCGGAGCGGGAGTGTTTTGCGACCGCCCGAAACTCAGGGTTGCCTGCCGATAGCGTGAGGGCTCGAGCTTCTTTGACGGCGGTCCAATACGGGTCGACCCTTGATTAAAAGAAGTGCGGGGCGTAGTGCTTCGCTGAGGTGGTGTTGCTACAACATGGCGAGATGCCTCCTCTACTACTTCAGCGGTGTGCGTTCGAGGGGGAGGTGCCGATGCGGGAGGATTTCTTCGCAGTAAGTCTAATCCTGTCACGGCACCCGGGTGGGACGCTGTAGAAGGATCGTCGGGAGCCTCCTCCTCGTCGTCAGATCCTGGCGCAAGCATAGTGCCCCCTACCGAGGGGGCGGTTCACAGCAGAGAAACAGACCAGCGAGCACAAGCTCTATCGTCTAGAATGGTTGGATGATTCAAGGCATGAAAGGGAGCTGTGGGGAGGAAGGACCATGAGCGATGGCTGCGCGGGAGTTTGGTCCTCCCCACATGGAGTGGTTGGCCGTCCAACCATCCATGCATGCAATGCTGCGTCAGCGAGTGGACCGCAGCACCCCAACACCTTCTGAGGCCTGGCTGTGGTGCGCTGCGCTGGCTGTATACTTAGCCGCTATTGGCCAGAATTACAGGATTTGCAGTGCACGCGGCAAACTGGTCATTTCGCGGCAACAATCTACAGGCAAAATGTGCGCTGGCACGAAAATTATGGAACTATGGGCAGAAAACAGGGGGTACACCCGTAGCGCCCCCCCTGAAGCCAGATTCGAGGTATCAGGGTTATCCTCGAATTCATACTGAGCAGTCAGGGCTGGTACACGAACACTATACTGAGTTCTCAGGGTTGTCATATGATAACCATACTGAATTTACAGGGTCAGAAATTCATTTAATCGGATTTTTCAGGTCTGGCACCTCATACTCATCGTGAAAATCAGGAATTCAGGATAAAACATCCTGATATCTGAGGCCCTGGTGGAGTTGTTTCGACCGAATAGGGCTCTAGTTCAGTCAGTTGCCAAGGGGTCATGCCATGCTGAGTCATCGAGGCGTTTCCCGTTTGCGGTGTTCCGTAGATTTCCATTGCGCTCGTGTCCTTCGCGGCTTCGCGAAAAACGCGAAACGTCATTTGGGCCTGGACGAACCGCCCTCGCGACGCCGTCCGAAAATATGTGGCGAAAACCAGAAGGCTGCAACTGCTTCGTCGCTGTCCGCATGTTCATCCCCGCTGTCATGATGACTCAGCACAGTTGCCGGCGCGGGGGACTCTCTCGAAACGGATACTGCCCGTAAACTTCTTCTATTGGGCGAGGGGGTGCAATTGGGATTTTTTTTGGGCAGGGCACTTTGCGGACATCGTTTGTATAGGGTCGCGACTATTCACGTGACTGAAACGGTTCGTTACGCCTAATTGCGTAACTGAAGCGGTATGCTGACGTCATCCCGAGACGTGCGATGCTTTGCTGACATCATCACTTGGACCTGTTTCCTTACCGAGAAACTCGATACTGCTAACTACACTGAAAACGGAACTTGCAGGAATGCAAAACTTCAAGTATCACAACACTCCCCTTCATTCCTGGAAGTTCGATGTAGTCACGTCGTTTTTGTTGGAGTCCGGCGAACGAAATCTGCAATTTGGAATCTTGTGACGTGTAAACTTGATGTGCTGTAAGTAGTCGGCGGTCATTCCATTGGTCAAATGGCAGACCAATCGCGCTCTTCCCATGTTGATAACGAATTTTGGCTTTGACGAAGTGCGTGTAGATCCTCCTTCCCCCCTCACTTCGGCAGAGTAAAAATAAGTCGTGTTGAAAGTGGTTGGGGTTGCGCCATTGAACGTGGCAAGGTCGAAGGGTATGAATGCAAATCCACGAGAGTGTTGCACGTGGTGGAGAGGAGCCGTGATATAATTCGGAGGCGTGTAAAAGAACCGTGAAGTGACGGGCAGATCTGATGGTGAAGTTTCAGGCAGAGTAATTTGTTGAGTCAGCAGCAGGGTCCTAAATAGCAGACTTTTTTTGTCTGATTGTCTGATTTTCAGACTGGTTTTTAGGGGTTTCTCTGATTTTTCAGACAGGGGCTTGCAGAAACTCTGATTGGACTAGACAAACTTTTAATATTTCTCTGAAATTTTCAGACTAGGTGTACCAGTTTCTCTGATTTTTAGACAAGTGTTTTGAGTTTCTCTGAAACAAAGACATACAGGTGTAAGGTGCTCCCATGCGAATTTTCCCTTTTTCGCGTCGCCACACATTGTCCCCCCTTCGCATCCTTGGCATACGTGAGCCTTCCCGAGCCTTCTGTGGCAACATCTGATGTGGCTAGAGCACATGTGATTGGATACTTTACGGTATTGCAGAAAAGCAGACCAGTCAGAGCCCTTTGCGGCGCGTTACTTGGGTCTGCAGTGCACTGTGGGGATCAGACCATGCCTCACCCCATGCAGTGAACTTGCTGCAGCATACGTGCACCGCTGTACGTCATCCCCCCCATCACGACGCGTCGCCCCGCCCATCGTCTCATCACTTGCCAGTCCGTGCCGCCATGGCACTTGACCAAGAAACCCCCTCCCCAACCGCTTCTTGCTCCCTTCGTCTCCACCTATTTCTTCCATCCACTTCTCCTACGTTTTAGTGTTGTTGTCGTGCGTTGTGTTCTTCTGCTCGTGTTCTGTTTCAGGTTTAGAATCCCCTCTAGAAGTAGGGCCAACATGGCTGTCGTTGTCGAGGCTGACGGCGACGATCAGCCAGAAGGGTGTAGCGAATCCCTGCCTCCCATGCGAGGCCTAGACTTCCTGCGTTCAAAGCTGTCGTGCACCCCTGCTGCAGATACCTTCCGTCGCCCAGCCGCTATCGACCCTATGCTTGCGCCTTCCTCAGCCGAGCCCTCGCCATGGCCCGTGCCACTAGCATCCCCTCCTTTGTCGCCTGCGCGTTCGTCCAGTCCGTCCTTGCCTCAGCCCTCGCAGTCGCCCACACCATCGTCGGCGGTCCGCTTGGAAACCGATGCCGAAGCATCAGCTCACTCCTCCGCCAAGAAGCGAAAGTATCAGCAGGCTTCTCTGCCGTGGTTCAAGGGCGCAACATCCAAGGCTCCTGACTCTGCACCGAGTTCAGCGCCCGGCCCGTCTACCGCAGAAGATATGGAGGACGATGATGCTGACGACGACGAGGAGGACGCAGAAGCAGCAGAGCCGCTGAAGGTCGCTAAAGCACGTGAGGCAGAGCTGAAACACAAGTTTGAAACCGAGTGGTCGAAGAAGTTTCCGTGGCTCGTCCTCACCAAGACCGGTCTTGGTCGCTCGTCCATCAAGTGCAGCATCTGCACGGCGCACCGGTCGGAGAACTGCAAGTACGGCAAAGGCGGACAGGGCGGAGCAGACATCCAGGTGCAGACGATGCGCAAGCACCAACGTACCAAGAAGCACCAGGCTGCTTTCGAGAAAAAGGAGGCTAAGGAGAGGGCTGAGACGAAGCAGAAGCGCATCGAGGATTTCTCGAATGGCGACGTCGAAGGCAGACGTATCATTCGGTTGTTGATGGCGATGTTATTCATCTGCAGAACTGACGCACCGATCTTGATGTTTCTCTGGTGAACTTCATGGCCTCGCAGGGTACGCCGGACTTGGGCGAGAGCAACTACGGCACCTACCATACAGAGTATGTGTTTTGGATTTCGCAAATCTCCCATTGTTCGAACCGCTAGAGTCATCTAATGCTTCTCGTTGCTTGCCATGTGCTGCAGGTACGGATTCAGGCAGCTGACAGAGGCGACGGCGAATTACCTTCGGCAGAAGCAGCTCGAGCACATCCTGAAGAGTCATTTCATCGGTCTCATTGTCGACGAAAGTACCGATCGACGGCGCGGCAAGCACTTAATTGTCTACGTGACATTTGTGAAGAACGACAGGGTTGTCACTGAGTTCTTTGCCTTACTCACTGTGCATAAGTGCGATGCTGGATCCCTCTTAGCCGTTTTGCAGACCCATCTCGAATCGGCAGGTGTCGACATCAATAAGGTTTCAGGCATCAGTACGGATGGGGCCAGTGTCATGAGGGGGGATCGACAGGGTCTGGTTGCCCGCCTTCAGCAGCTCGTGCCGCACCTCGTCTCTGCTCACTGCATTGCTCACAGGTGAGGCGTAGTGCAGCACCACTTCCTTGGCAGGTTTCCTGACTTCATCGACTTGTTTTGATTTATGTTTCGTGGTTTTGATGTATGATGTTCCGTGTTTGTGCAGGGAGGCGTTGGCAGCTAAGGACGCTGCCAAGAAGTTTCCCGACTTCAACATGATATACGACATCATCAGGATGCTGGCTGAGATTTTGGGATGCTCCTCAGTGTGGCACGACCGCTTCAGAGAGCTGCAGGAGATCGCGATGAAGACGTTCCTGGAGATGCAGTCTATCTTCGCCATCCGCTGGCTTTCACGCGCCGAGGCAATACTCCGCTTGGTCGCAGTTCTTCCCGCCGCCATCCTGCTGCTGCACAAGTACGACTGGGATTCGTACGAGGTTGCAAGGGGCTATAAATTCCACTTCTGCCTCTTCTTCCTCGCCGACCTGCTGACAGAGCTCAACCGACTTAACAAGAGGTTTCAGCGTCGCCAGGTAACGAATACGCTAACGCTTCAGATCGCGCACATACTTTCGATCGCGCACATGCATGTTCTATGCTGTGCTAAGCATGCCTTGGCTATGTGATTTTCTCATGCTACTTGCAGGTCGACATCACCAGGATGGGAAGCATGGTGCAGAGCACCACCGAGGTGATTCGCGCACGGTACATCAACTGCTACTCTTTTTTCGGCGGCCCCAGAAGCAAGCACCTGCACAAGTTCTTGACATCCCATGAGCCTGAAGGCCGTGTGGTCGTCGAGGGGGAGGCGAAGGATGGCTAGCCATTCCGCCACGAGTACATCCTTCACACGAAGTCGATTTCGGACTCGGAGTTCAAGAGCGACAAGAAGTCTTGCATCATGTTGTGCCGTGCCATGGCCCAAGAGATGATCGACTGCATCGAGTCAAGGTTCAGCGACCTGCAGCAGCTCGGAGGAACCAAGCTTTTTCTCTCAAGCGCCTATTGTTAGTATTAAGGACGGAGTCTAGGTGAACTTAGGAGCTAGAATTACTCAAAATATAAATCCGAAATTCTGGACAGAAAAGTCGTCTTCACAAGAAACGACGTCGACGAAAAACTAGCCGTTGGAATGTCGCGAAACTTGAATATGTTGTAGCTCTTAATCTCAGCTACCGTTCCCAATTTGAATCATGTTGATTGATGAAGTATTCGCGACGCTATGGCTTTCGACGCACTAGGGGGTAAGCTGTAGGAGGAGAACTTAACTCAATCTCAAGAGTTCAATCAAAGTTCAAGAATCTCACAAGGAATAAGAGGAGCAAGAGAAAGGTTGGGATAGAAGAGAGGGATGAGAGGGAAGGTCCCAAGAGAGTCCCCAACCAAGGAAACCCCATAAGCACAAAGATTCCCTCCCTATAGGAACCCCAACTTTGACATTTGTCCTTTCCCAACCAATCCATCCAAGTTGGCCACCCTTGCCAACCTAGCTTGGTTGTTCCCAACCAATTTGCAGCTGTTACAGTGAGTGACAAATTTCCCCAACCCCCAAAGGTCCCAACTCCATATAGAGTCACCCCACAACTTCACTTTGTAACCGCCGCAATTGTAACGCAAGCTCATGAACTTTGAATCTTCATAGCTTTCGCGTTCTTGCTCCGATTGAAGGGATTCTCGTTGCGTCGGAAAGATCTTCTCAAGATCTATCATCACAAAAAACCTGCTCAAACAAAATAACACAAAACACATTCCCAAACTCCAGAACACATCACACACAAATTCTTGCACACGTTCAAACCACACATGCAAGTTGAAACAAGAGATGGGAGGCAGACAGAATGTGATAGCATATGATGACATCACACAACAATCTCCCCCTCTGGCTGCCAACCATCAACCACCATACCAACATCTCAAGCATGCATACTCAATGCACACTCATCCCAGCAAGCTTCATGCCCTTCCAATGATCCGCCTCCGCCAGAATGATCCCATTCAGAAAGGCAGTCACAATGTCCATCTGCCGTATCTTCCATCCCAGGAGTGCAGCTATCGCCAACAGCACCCTCAGTGTTGTTCCTTTCCCCACAGGAGCAAACACCTCATCATAGTCCTTCCCCTTTGTCTGCTGAAACCCCCGTGCCACAAGCCTAGACTTGTAGCGGGTCAGCTCCCCATCAGGTCCATACTTGTGCCTGTAGATCATCTTGGAAGTGATTGCCTTCTTCCCAGGAGGCAAGTCACACAGGTCCCATGTCTCGTTCTCAATTAGGGACCCGAACTCCTCATCCTCACTCGCCTTCCACTTCTCCCCATTTGGTCCATTCAAGGCCTCCTCTCGAGTCTTGGGCTCAGGGATTGGTGCCCAGTAGCAGTGAGCGATCTCATCTTCCTCAATCTGCTCAACCACACTCCCAGCCTGCACCACATTTGGCTTGCCTCTTCCCCCATAGGTCAGCCTCACAGGAGGGCGCACATCCCTCCTAGGTCGCTCAGGCGGGTGTGGAACTCGAGGTGGAGACTCATGTTGCTGTTGCTGCTCCACTTCAGCTGCTCCCCCTTCTTCAGTCACCCCAGATATCTCCTCCTCAGACACTGCAACCTCCACCTGCCTTGAAGGCTGCTGCAACTCATCTGCCTCCACAATGAGTGGTGTAGATGGAAGCTTCTGTTGCTGCTGCTTCCATTCCTTATAGTACAGGGACTCAAGAAACTTCACATCCCTTGACACTGTCAGCTTCTGGGTGGTCAAGTCCCATAGCAGCCATCCCTTGTGATCCTTTGCAATCCCCAAGTGCACACCCCATCTTCCAGAAGCCTCCAACTTCCCCCTTTTCTCCTTAGGCACATGAAACACCACCATGCACCCAAATGCCCTCAGCATGTTCACAGCTGGAGCACTCCCATACCACTTGACATATGGGATCCACTCCTTATCCCCAACTGTTGCCAGCACCCTATTCTTCACAAGGGCGACCTGCCTCAGTGCAGACACCCAAAACGGATCAGGCAGCCCTGCACGCCCAAGGAGAGTGCGTGCCCCCTCCTGCAGGGTCCTGTTGAACCTCTCAGCCACGCCATTCTGCTGCGGGTTGTAGGGCACTGTCAGTTGATGTTGGATCCCCTTCCTCTTCAACTCCCCCTCAAAATCAGCTCCAATGAACTCCCCACCATTGTCACTGCGGATCACCTTCACCTTGTGTCCACATTCCCTCTGAGCTCTCGGCATCCACTCCTTAAGGACAGCCGCTGCCACCTCCCCCTTGCTGTTCAAAGGGTAAACCCACACTGCCCGAGTGTGGTCATCCACAATTGTCAAGAAATAGCGGCTGCCTGAGAGGGAAGGGGCTCTTGTGGGCCCCACCACATCCATGTGCACAAGTGCAAGTGGGGTCTTGGCTGGTCCTGTAGTGCTGTTGAAGGGGAACTTGGAGAACTTGGTCTCCAAGCATGTAGGGCAGCTCCCAATCTCCTTCAATCCCCCCTTTACCTCCAATCCTTTCAGGCTCCCATCCTTCACCAACTTCTGCAGCATAGGGAAGTTCACATGACACAGCCTCTCATGCCATGTCTCCCAATCGGCCTCTCCACTCCTTGATGAAGCCTTAGCCCATGCCGCACTCGCATCCACACCAGCAAGCACCTCACCATGTGTCTGCTGCTGCTGCACTTTCTTGACTGCTTCCAGGACCCCATCAGTTGGTGCAGTTGCATCTCCTCCTGCTGTTGCCTTTGCCGCTGCTGTCGTTGCTGCTGTTGGAGTCTTCCCATTCCATGGGATGATGGGCAGCTGCCACAGGTCCTTGATGCAGCTGGTCTCCTCTTCCAGACTCCACAGCACCTTCTTCCCAAGCTTTGCACGGCAGCTGGTTGGTCCAAAGGTCACTTCGGCCTTACTCTTCTGCAGTCGCCGCACAGAGAGAAGGTTAGCAGACAAGCCTTTAACCAGCAGAACATTCCCAAGCCCCACAAGCTCCCCATTAGCTCCCTTAACCTTGGCATTCCCAACACCAATGACAGGGAGCAAAGCACCTGACGCTGCTGCCACATACTTGATCTTCCCAGGGGGTTTTGCCTCATCAAGCAAATCTGCCCGTGGGGTCATGTGACTGATGCAACCCGAATCAATCACCCAGTGCGTGAGAGGGTGCATCACAACCTTTCCCACAGATCCCACATCACCCTCATGCCCATGCACATCCTCAACCATAAGAAACAAACCAGGATAGGCATTACCTTGTGCACCTTCACCTTGTGCACCTGAGCCTTGCACAGCGCCACCTTGTGCGCGTTCACCACTGGGCGGCTTCATGCCTGGAGGTGCCCATCCCTCCGGCCTGCTGAAGCACTTGAACCAAGGATGCCCTATCTTCTTGCAGTACCAGCAGGTGCCCTCCATTCTGGTGCTCCCCCTGCCACTGGAGCTTCCATGCCCCTCATTATAGTCACCTCGGCCTCTACCTCTGCCAAAGCTCCTCCCACGGCCTCGGCCTCTCCAACCCCCTCTTCCTCTGCCGCGCCCTGCAGCTCCATACCCCTCAGCAGTCTTAGTGGCAGCACCGCCTCCCACATGGCGTCTGCGGAAGTCCTCCTGCAGAATCTGCTGCCTTAGCCACTCAGGTGTCCATTGATCTTGCTGAGAGTTGAGGGTGGGGATGAGGTTGTCCCAAGAGTTGTCCAACACCGAGATGATCTTGGTGCACTGCTGCAGCTGAGATACACTGCTGCCCGCTGCTGCCATCCTTGCATAGGTGTCCTTGATCTTGTCAAGGAACGGCTTCACATCATCCCCTGGTCGCATGGAGATGGCAGCAAGTTCCTTCTCGAGCACGATCACCATCAGGAGAGTGTTGGGCTGAATCACATCGCGTAGTAGTTTCCACGCCCTTGGACCCGAATCATCCGCTTCCACAAGATCCTTGATGTGCTCGAACATCTCCTTGTTGACCGATTGAAGGATGAGGTCGAAAAGCACCGCGCTTTTCTCAATCTACCGTTCACGTGCTTCGCCTTCTTCCGGCATCTTCTCTTCCCCAACAGCAATCTTCAGGAGCTTGTAGCGTTTGAAGGCACTCCTCATCCGCCCGCTCCATTCCTCATAGTTGGAGCCATCCAAAGCTTCAACTTTTGATGGCGGCGGCTCACTTGTCTTCTCAGCTACAGCTCCTCTTCCATTAGCATCTCCTCCTCTCTCATTCATCTCCTTCTTGAGAAATGACGAATTTCAGCTCCCCTTTGCTGTCCACACTCAGCTCCCTCGATATTTTCACAAGTGTCGGCGTCCACGAAATTTCGGCAGAGTTTCCCCTTAGCGGAAGACACATCCAACCTTTAGAACACCACTTAGGCACACCCACAGGCCATGGTGGGTCTAGAAGGGTCTTCAAACTTCTGTAGACTCCTCTCAATGTCCTTAATATCGCTCTGATACCACTTGTTAGTATTAAGGACGGAGTCTAGGTGAACTTAGGAGCTAGAATTACTCAAAATATAAATCCGAAATTCTGGACAGAAAAGTCGTCTTCACAAGAAACGACGTCGACGAAAAACTAGCCGTTGGAATGTCGCGAAACTTGAATATGTTGTAGCTCTTAATCTCAGCTACCGTTCCCAATTTGAATCATGTTGATTGATGAAGTATTCGCGACGCTATGGCTTTCGACGCACTAGGGGGTAAGCTGTAGGAGGAGAACTTAACTCAATCTCAAGAGTTCAATCAAAGTTCAAGAATCTCACAAGGAATAAGAGGAGCAAGAGAAAGGTTGGGATAGAAGAGAGGGATGAGAGGGAAGGTCCCAAGAGAGTCCCCAACCAAGGAAACCCCATAAGCACAAAGATTCCCTCCCTATAGGAACCCCAACTTTGACATTTGTCCTTTCCCAACCAATCCATCCAAGTTGGCCACCCTTGCCAACCTAGCTTGGTTGTTCCCAACCAATTTGCAGCTGTTACAGTGAGTGACAAATTTCCCCAACCCCCAAAGGTCCCAACTCCATATAGAGTCACCCCACAACTTCACTTTGTAACCGCCGCAATTGTAACGCAAGCTCATGAACTTTGAATCTTCATAGCTTTCGCGTTCTTGCTCCGATTGAAGGGATTCTCGTTGCGTCGGAAAGATCTTCTCAAGATCTATCATCACAAAAAACCTGCTCAAACAAAATAACACAAAACACATTCCCAAACTCCAGAACACATCACACACAAATTCTTGCACACGTTCAAACCACACATGCAAGTTGAAACAAGAGATGGGAGGCAGACAGAATGTGATAGCATATGATGACATCACACAACACCTATCCCACTGCGCGATCGGACCGCGAGAAGAAAGCGCTTGAGTGGCTGGCGCTTCTGAAAAATTTATTCAACAACAAGCCCCTGCCTGGTAAGTTCTCTAGACCAACATACTTTTCCAAGTGCTTTTCTGGATTCCCCTTCTAATGTTTACTCAGTGTGCCTGTTATCTGAGTGCGATGCCATGCGTTATACTCACACATTGCTGATTCCCTCCCCTCGCAATGTACCCCCCCCCCCCCCTCCCCCTCCCAGGCGTTAGCTGGAAGCGCGCCAAGGCAGAGCTGACCTCATTCGTCAACATCATGGACGCGCATCACGGGGAGATGGCGTACCACGTCAGCCTGCGGCACATGTTGGGGACACGCGACTGGGAAGATACCTATCCCAATCTTGTTAAGATTTGGGTGGCAACCGCCATGCTCCCGTTGAGCACGGTGGAGTGCGAGCGGGAATTTTCCCGCCAGAACGTCATTAAGAGCTGGTCTCAGGGCAACCTCTGTGATGCCCGCTTGGGCGACCTTGTGTGCATCTCCCTCCTGCAGGATTACGACATGCAATGGGATGAGATCGTTGACATGTGGAAGGCCGCCTTGGCTTGGCGGCCTTCCACATGTCAATTGCCCCCATTCTTGCCCCAATGTCCAGGAAGAAGAGCAAGGCCGAGGCATAGAAGAGAAGGAAGGTCGCTGCGCTCGAGGCTCAGATTCAGGAAGTGGAAGGGGATGGCTGTGGTTGAGGAGGATGGGCTGGAGGAAGGAGAGGTGGAAGAGGAGGTGGAGGAGGGAGTAGAGGAGGAGCTGACGGAATTTGATGATGACGAGTAGGTACCGTGAATGTAGGGAGGGAGGGAATGGCCATCTGCCTGCATGCTCGTTCGTTTGTAACTTGCAAGTAGTACTAACTTAATCAAAGTGCTTAACTGTATCTTCTATTGTCACCAGACCCCTAAACCCGTGGTTTTTTCCCTGAATTTTCAGAGGTCCCCAATTTTTTTTGCTTAGGGGTCAGGATTGTGTGGGACAAAAATGCTGAATGGACAAAGATAGATGGTTTTTTTTCCCTGATTGACAAAATGAAGAGGAAATTGAGAAGCAAGGAACTTTACTCGAAATTATCAAGATCGTCCACATTGTCATTACTACCTACACCCTACTCTGACTCTTATTCTACTACCTTCCCCTTCTTCGAGCCGTCTTGCTTGGCCTGAGGGGTGTTGTTGAAGGGCTTACGCTTCTTGTAAGTGCGCCATATCTCCACCACAGCATCATAGTCTGGGTCATAGTCTAACAGTGATATGTACATGAGGTCACAAAGCCTAGTATCTTTAAGGCTGCCACGCAGCCAGCTATTAATCACATTCTGCCTAGAGAATCCGCGCTCGCACTCCACATTGCTGAGAGGAAGCACTGCCACCGCCATCCACAACTTCATCAGGTTCGGGTAAGAATCCTGCCAGTCAGGTGTCTTCAGCATGGCCGTGAGCCCAGCGTGAAAGCTTTGGTCGGCCTGGGGAAGAGCAGCAATGACAGGGCAGAAATGAGGCAGCTCTCTCATGGCTGCACGCTTGTCAATGCCAGGAAGAATCTCCTCTGCCTCATCTGCACGATAAAGAGTAACAAGGGAGAAGAACCAGTCAAGGCACTGGGCCTTGCGTGCAGCTCTCTCCCAATTAGGGGGCCAGAGGTTGACAGAGAAGAGGCAGCCAGAGCTTCCCCAGATCACCCAGTCGCTCCTTCAAGTCCGACACCATGCCTGTTGCCATGGCCACACAGAGCCTCTGGCACGCGTCGTGATCGCCCTCCCCCGGATAACCGGGCAAGCGATCTTCATGCAGCATGAAGGTAAAGGAAGTCGGACGACCGTCGGAGTCAACCCCCTCAGCTGTGACCTCGCGAGAACCGCCCGGGCCGTGACGGGTGAGGAAGATGGTGAGACGGTCCTTCGATCCCCCGCCGAAGTCTTCGGCGTTCCCGTAGCGGCTCTGCAGCAGGGTTGTTGTGCGGATGATCTGCGCGTGGACGGCCGAGTACTCCAGCTGAGGTTGGGGCGGGGAAGAGGGGGAGGGGAGGAAGGGAGGGGAACGTGTATATATACAGAACCAGGGTGGTTTAATAACGACTCATTGTCACAGTAAAGAAAAACTCACCTGATGCTCCTGGAAGGACTTGTTGAGGATGTTTAGCTAATCCAGTACGTCAGCAAGGAACATGACAAGGAACCAGAAGCGGTAGCTTGTCACTATCCTGGAGAGCCGTGTATCAGTCCACTCCGAGAGCATGACGACGATGGCGGGTAGAACCTTGACTAACCTAATGACAGCCTCACCGCGGGAGAGCCATCGGATGTTATGAATGCCTTGAAGTTCGAGGTTCGTCGAGGCGAAGATTTCCTGCAGGTCCAAGAAGCGCTGGTGCCATGGGCTGGATCGTCGGAAGTACTCAGCGAGCTCCTTGATGACATCGTCAATCATCTTGAAAGCTGGCAAGGATTCCGCCGCTGCTTTAGCTGCCAGTGCCTATCTGGAGGGTGGGACAAAACGAAAACAAATTGGTACATGTTGGGCCTTGGGAGTGGGGTAATACACATTGCACATGCGGAAACCACCAGTGCACTTAACCCGAGGTACAGTAGCGGTAAACAACAACGCTCACATGTGCGCAATACAGTGACACGACACCATCATAACAGCAGCGCCATAAGTGCTTATGCCCACGACCCGCCGGAGGTCGACACCGATGGCGTTGATGTGAGACAAGAGTAGAGCGAGCAGAGAGGCAGCGTCAGCCTTGTCGACGCTCAGCAGGGCCAGGTATTCGCAGACGACTTGGTTCTCGCGGATGAAGTGCGCAAACACGATGAGGTGCTTGCCGCGGCAGCGGTCTGTGCTCTCATCGATGCTCAAGCCGATGAACGGGCTCCTCGGAAGGTGGTCCAACTGTGTTGTCTGCAGCCAGGTTGCCATGGACTGTGTGAACTCCCCGTACCCATAACTGTAGTAGCCAAGGACATACAGATAATTAGTTTGGTGAAATATGAACATTTGTCATGCATGATAGATGCATGCAAAACAAAATCAAACAACACACAAGAATACCTGTTGTAGTACGTGCCATAGGTGTGCTCGGGGAAGTGCTCGTGCCGACGTTGGCTGAGGTAGCGCACGAGCCTGATCCAGTTTTCGATCGGCTCGTTGCCTTTGCAGCAGAAGTAGAGCGCGTCAAGCAGCGCAGGCACACGTTCCTTCTCCAGGTCTGCGGCTTGAGGAAGCTGGTCGATCCGCATCTGGTTGGTTGCGTCCTGCAGCAGCGCCTGCTGCTTTGTCACGGCTAGGCGATGCTTGGCCGACCCCGCGTGCCTGTTGAATGCCTGAGATTGCACGTCCGTCAGCTCTACGCCGCGTTTGCCGGCTTTCCCTCTGAGTCCTGCATGCTCAAGGAACAGACTGCATTTAAACGCAGGGAATCCAGCGTCAGTCTTAACGATCATAAGCAGGGAAACTGCTCGGACCACCGCGTATTAAACCTGCTGAGGGCTTCGCCGTAGACATCCTCAGGCGATCGAAACTTGTCGGGTGCAGCGGTAGTGTCGTCGCCATTGCTGTCGTCATCTTCGCACATGGCTGAGGGGCGGGGCGTCGTCGGCTGACCGCGTGGGAAATTCCACAGGGTGGATTGCCGGTATCGACCGCCAGGTTTCACGGGGGTGGCGGAACCTGGACTACAGGTAAAAGCATTAGCCAAGGATGGGCCTAGAATAGGCGCGGAATTCGGCTCGACAACACCTTGAGAAGTTGAGGCGACCAACTGCAAGGCGCATAAGGGGTTTTGTTCCGTCGGAGGGTTACGACGAGTCTTCGGAAAACTACCTAGCGTCGAAAGGAGCATGTCAAGCCCAGAGGGGGCTTCGGCACGGTGACTGCCGCTGTCGTCGCCATCGTCGTCCAATTCCACGTCGCCTAACTCAGGCATGTGGACGGGGCTCACTAGGGTGGTCGACAAGCAGAGACACACGACGGAGTGGTTGTAAAACAACGACACTGCGGGGGGAAGGTCACGCTGGGAGTGGCTAACGTAGTGGCTGTTTCTACCGTGGGAAGAAACAGATGAAGAAGACGCAGGGGGGAAAGGGAATGATGGCGAGGCGCGAACACTTTGCCAGCCACGCACAGTTGGCTTCCTGTATTCCTGAATCTAGACCGAAACTAGCGCGGCGCATGCGCGTCGGCGTCGAACCGGAGTGTGGTGTTGAAGCTGGGTCATCATCGCTGGCGTACACGTGATTGGCTATTCAGGCAGCATTTACAAAGGCAACCAATCCACGCATGCATGCAAACTGTGTGCTGGTCGACACTTTGAGAAGGACCAATGCCGTGAGGCAGCGCGGCAACATGTGACTCAGCAAACAATGTCTGCAGGCGGGAACCTGGCAGTCAGGCCAGTTTTGTGGGGGAATATGCGCATATCGCTGTAATTCGGGGGGGGGGGGACCCGCAAATCACGCCTTTGACAAAATCAGAACCCATGCTCGATACAAGTCTGAAATTTCAGGATCCATTACAAACAAAAACTGACCTGACAGATATCCCTTACAAAAAAACCCTGAAATTTCAGGATATGCCAAAAACAAAACCCTAGCAAATCAGATCTGGTACCCCTCAACACCCTGTTTTTTTCCTGAATTAGGAAAAATTTCCTGACTTCTGGGGGCCTGATTGACACACACAATAACAG